TAAAGTTTTACTAGTATTAAGAGGGTGCATGCTCTGACAATTTTAATAATGTAACAATTAGGTCTCAATTTTTTAAATATTTATAAATAGGTCCCTAAATAAAATATTATTAATATAGAACATTTTTCTAATTAAAGAGAAGCTTATAGTTTAGTCTGTGGTCCAAACTATATTAGATGGAGGAGATTTTTCAACGTTAAATTTGGCTTTATTTTCTCTATATTATTTACTTTATTATTTTGCTTGTACATTTTCGTGATGATGATTTTCTCATTGAATTGACATTTAACGTTTCAAATCATCCCAACAAATAGCATCATAGCATGTGGGAAAGGATTAAATTCCTATCATGGTCCCCTCAAATAGCTTTGTTTCTAGTTTGTGTTTTAGAAATATATTTTTCTCAAAAGTAAAAGGAAAATAATTAAGGAATCCAAAGAAAGAGGATTTTTAGAGCGATTAAAAGGTGAGCTAAGGAGGATATATGCTGTTGCTAAAGGTCGCATTATTATTAGCTCATCATTTTGCTAAAAATTATCTCATCATACTTATATATGGCGTGGTTTAACCTTAATAATAATAGTAATAATATATGTGAATGATGTGTCGTCTATTCGAGTCAAGTGGTTTGTCACTTGACTTTTAAGTGGAAAAATCTCTAGAGTTTGATGTTTAAATCTCTAAGATAACTTTTCAACTTCCCCATAAAATGTTAGGATAATTTGTAAAATTGTTAAAAAAATAATAATATATGTGTATGATTGTCTGCCATTCAAGAACCTTGGTAATCTTAGGGATTAGGTTCATTACTAAATAAATATTATCTTGTAGCTCAAATCTAGGGTTTGAGTTTTGGAACTCATATTTAAAAAAATTAATTTTTTTTAAATATACCAAACTAATGTATGGGATATGCCCTTAACATTGCTTAAGAAAGAATTAGTCTTTAGTTACATGAAAGCTAATATCTTGACTGTAAATATATATATATATATATATATATATAACCTTGGCTTGACTTTTCTTCATTTTCCAAAACTAAACTCAGGTGGAGATGGGCAACCGCAGACGGTGCCGGAAGTGGTTTAATTGTGACGGAGACGTGTGGGTGAGCAGTGACCGTTGGTACCCAGTGCCCACCCTAGCATCTAAGAGACGATACATGAATCATAGACCAACTTAGATCAGGTGGTCCAACATATAGTCCAATTCGTTCGTACCCTTTATACATTTATAATTTCATCCCATTATGCACCAATCATTCACAGCAAAAAAAAAAAAAAAAGGAATTTCATGGCCTTCAAAAAAAGAAAAATCCACAGAAAAAAAATAGAATTCGTATGTACTACTTCATCTAGTACAAGAAAGAAAGTTCCTAGAATGAAAAATATCTTATATATTTTTTGATTTAATATATTTTTTATATTAATTTGGTCAATATAATATAAATATAATTAATTTAATTAGTTATTATATTATATATATGTATGATTATATTCTTTAATTTATTTATTTTTAATTTTAAATAAATAATAATAATTTTTCAATAAATAAATTATACCATATATTAAATTAAATAACATACTAATAAATGTCCTAATAAAAAAAAACACCTCAAAAGTGTTTGTACCCCTCGTTGAGCTGTAATGATTTGACACATCAGTAAAAGATATGCAATGGTTTCTAAAATGTCATTCTTTTATTTCATAAGATATCATGATGGTACTATAATACGATTACCACCCTATTTATTTTTGTTAAAGAAAATGGAAAAAATAATAACAAATTAAAAAAATAAAATAAGATTCATTTTGTATCCGAAATTTGGGCTTCTAAATGGATATCAGCCCAGCTCAATAAGATTATTTTTCACAAAAAGAATGGCCCAAACAATCATTGGCCGAAGAAAATATGGGCATAGCCTTATTGGGCTTTCTTAACACTACATTTTGGGCCTCTCCCAGACTCTCTTCTTCCCAAAATTAAGAATCAAACGGCACTTCGAAACAGAACACAATTTCTTCTTCACTGTGAATCTCTAAAACAATCATTTCTCTTCCCACGTTGATTCTTCAGATCCAAAGCGAAAATCCTGTCCTGAAGCTATACTTTCAGTCTTTCTCACTACTAAATTGGAAGTGGATGAGGCTTTTGCAATTTGGTTTACTGGTAGCTTTAGCTTCCGGGCTGGCAGCCATCATCATCTACATCACCGGGGTCACCAATCTATGTACGTTTCTCTGAATTGGTTTTGAATCAGTATGTGCATAATTTTTCTGGGTTTTTTATTTGATGTGCATAATTTTTCTGGGTTTTTTATTTGATGTGGTTTCCAGATGAGAGTACCGGTTTATCAGATGAGGATTTGGAAGCATTGCAGTCGCTTCAGGGCGGCTTCCAGAAGTGTGTGGTGAGTATTCCCTTTTGAAGATAATCGAACCCAGTTGCTCAATTGTTGTAAATTTTTTTTTTTTTTTAAAGTTAGTTGCTTAAAGCTTCTAGCTTTACTCAGTTGAACGATTCTGATTAGGATTGATGTGCTTGTTTTTATTGTCATTGGGTTCAATTTGGTTGATCTCCTTGTTTTGATGATTATGCAGAGTGCAAATGGATTAGGTTTGCAGTCCGTGAGTGGCAAAGATTATTGCCAAGTTACACTCAATTTTCCCAGTGATACCATACCCAAATGGGTAGGTTTCTGTCGTAATATATATATATAGCTTATTTTTACCATCTAGTTTGCTTGTGGTTTAGTTTTCTGACAGGATTTGTTTGAATTTATCTTGATTAGAGAGATCCTAAAACAGGAGAACTTGAAGATTTATCATTTGAGTTTAATCTTTGTGAAGCTGTGGCCACATGGGAACAGGTGATTGGGCGGGCTGTGTTTTGATTTCACTAAACGTTGGTGCTATATTGAGCTCTTTGTTATTTACTGTTGATTTATTATTTAGTGAGTTGATTACTCAGGTGCGCAATAGTACCACAATACTTACCAGGGAGTTTATTGATGCTTTACCAAATGGCTGGGAGGAGTATGCATGGCGGAGGATTAATAAGGGAATAAATCTGTAAGTTCTTGAGATAAATAAATGAGCATCTGATTGATGCAATTCATGAGCTGTAATGATGTTATACTGGTTTACTAAATTACTACTCTTACATAGATGCATGTAGATAGAGATGGATGATACCATGAAGTTGGTTTTTTTTTTAATAAGTAATTGCTCTCTAGAAAAAGAAGAAACGCCGTATCATTAGATTTATTTGTTGCATCTGATACTATTACTACATGTGTCTCTTGTATTGATCTTTGATTTTTAATGCTGTCTTTGTACTTACTTTATGTTGTAGGATTCACTATTTGTCTTTCAGTGGTATTGATCTAATGACTGATACTATATAGTTCCATGTAGTTTGATGGAGTCATTTCTGTGTTGCAGAAACCACTGTCAAAACAAAGCCTTATGTGTGGAGAAGCTTTCTCTCGTCCTCCCTGAAACACCACCATATTTTCCACAGCAGTTTGGTAGGTGTGCTGTTATTGGCAACTCTGGAGATCTTTTGAAAACAAGGTTTGGGAAAGAGATAGACAGTTATGATGTTGTTATCAGAGAGAATGGCGCCCCAATCCAGGTTGTATTGCAATCCTAATGGTAGCTATCTACAGCTTTTCTTTTACATTTGGTTTTTCTTACATCCATCCATAAATTTCACTGCAGAACTATACAGAGTATGTGGGCAGGAAAAGTACATTTCGGCTTCTCAACAGGGGATCTGCAAAAGCTCTTGATAAAGTTGTTGAGTTAGATGGTATGTATCTTTTCAGTTTCTTTTAGGCCTATTTCAAATAGCTAAAAGTCCCACTAAATATTTGAATTTTGCAGAAACAAGGCAGGAGGCTTTGATAATCAAAACAACAATTCATGACATTATGAACAAGATGATTCGGGTTTGTATATCATTTCTTTGTTCTTCTTTCTTGGGTTTGTAATTCTTGAAGTTGATGTATTGAACAGCAACCGAAGTTTCTTGTTTGAGTGTCTAAAATGTAATTATCACCTTGGCTTTGGCATCCAGCTTGCTAGTTTTGTTATTTCAAAATTAATATTTACTGTTGGAATTTGAAAGGAGAAAAAAAGAAAGAAAGAAAGAAAGAAAGAAAGAAAGAAGAACAAGACATATTTACTTATCAATGTATTTTGGTGTTTCAACTTTTATTGATTAACATGCAACCTCTACACTCAAACTGATGCAAATGTGGGAAACTTTTTAGATATCACATATTCAGCAGCATTACATATTTTGAATTGTAGGACCAAGAACTTACCATATTCAGCATTTGCTGACATTATCTAGCATCTGGCAACCCCATTATTTTGACCCTCACTACCAGCTCTTTCTTTTAACCATGGAGTTTGTGTTGTTCTCTTCTGCAGGAAGTTCCAATTAAAAATCCTGTATACCTCATGTTAGGTGCATCCTTTGGTTCTGCTGCAAAAGGAACTGGGCTCAAGGCTCTTGAATTTGCTCTATCTGTCTGTGACTCAGTAGATATGTATGGTTTCACTGTGGACCCTGGTTATAAAGAATGGTATTAATCAACTTCCAATTGTTTTCATCTCCAACTTCACAGGATAAGGCTTGGTGCTCAGCTGATGAAGTAACTTTTACTCTTTTGCCTCAGGACTAGATATTTCTCAGAATCCCGGCAAGGTCATACTCCTTTGCATGGCAGGGCTTACTACCAGATGATGGAATGTTTGGGTGTAAGCTGCCCTCTCTCTCTCTCTCTCTTTCTCCATTCTGGAACCTTGATTTAAGTTCTCTTAGTGGCAGCAGTAAACTAATAGTCTAATAATAAGAAAAAGCTCTTCGTTCTCTGACTTTGACTACTAGTAGGAGAAAAGACTTGCATGCTAATAATCAGTTCAGTTATTAATTAGTTTTGCCGGTGGTTATTTATATATTTTTTTTCTCGTCTCTTTAAGCTTATAAAAATCCATTCTCCTATGCGACCTGATCCCAATCGAGTTGTGAAGTTTGTACCAAGTCATAAGACAATCAGGGCTGCTAGAATTGCATCAGAGAAGTTGTTGAGGTAATTAAATCTTAGAGTATCAATTCTTTGTTTATTCAAACAATTGTTAAATATTATGCACCTTATTTTAGATGAAGCTCTCATTTATCTTCAGAACTCTTTAGTCTTGCAAATTATCTTAATGACTTTACGGTTTAAGTTGTCCCAATAAGAGATTTGACTTGTTCATTGTCAGATTTGATTTCTGCACAAGTTAATCGAACCAAGTAGAGAAAGCTAGGTCATGGGACTCACACTAGTTTTTTTTTTTAGGCCTTCCATAACTAGTTCATATAATTTTATGATATTATCCAACATCCTTGGTTCTCTGAAGATGTTAAGGTCCTATTACGAGTTGATATTCTATACATAATTGTCTGTACTTGCAAGTTAATTTCTCAACTCTGGTGTTAATCTTACGGCAATTAAAGATCTGTTTTGAATCCTTTGACTTAAAGCCCTGTGCCTAAATTTTTACTAAATACAATCTTTGGTCTGCAGGAGGGTTGGAGCTGGATCAGCAGATCCACTTGCTGCTTGTTCAATAAAAAGGAAACAAGTTAAAAGGAATCCTAGAGTAGTTTCAAGTCTCAGAAAAAACGCAGTTGATCATCAAAAAGTTGTTAAAGGTGCTACCATGTATCCTTTGGAGCAGAATCCTGGACATGGTCAGCTGTGCACAGTGCCAGCCGGTTGAATCTGTGATAACTGCATTTCATCTTCTTCCATTGTGCTTACTGATCAAACCTGTGAAATTATTTCTGATTACAGACCACACACACAACCTAAGAGTTTACTGTTGAAGCGGCTACAACTAGCAGATTCATCTCGAACAAGTTTTCTTCTCAGGCGCTTTGGCTTCCTGAACTGTTATTTTCTCCTTAGTAGACTAGCAAATATAGAGCAAGAAATATTCAAGTTTGACATCACTATTCTTTTTCAGCACCTCTAGTGTCTAGCCTGAATCCATTAATGCGAAAGATTGTTATGCAAATGCCTCCAGTGAACATTGTATTAAATTGTAGAAATGAAAAAGGGGAGAAGGATTTGAATTTCTTTAATCCCTTTCTTGGAGAAATGAAGGAATGTTTGGCCTATCCATTTACCTCAGATTGCTTTGGTTTAAGGTTTTGTCCTGTTAATTAAAATATTTTGTTTGTTATTTTAATTCCGTTTTTTCATACTTAGTCTTGTAATTTTCATTTAACTTTTTCTTCAAATAAATTAAACACATCTTGAAAATGTGAATGAAACTTTTGATTGGAAACAAAATTTTAGCCAAAAATTTAGTTTGAATGTGAAGAATGATAATGAAACCACTTGAATATTGAAGATAAATCCATTAAGTATTGAATAATTTTGTAAATAATTTTAACATTTTAAATAACAAAACATCATAATTTTCACTTTTTTTTTATAAAATTTATAAAAAAATCTGCCTTTTTATAAACAAGCATTCAAGATCATCTTATAGATTACACACCAATCAACCGTGTAGTTCTAATGATTATGTACTTTTTTTAGAATCAAATAATGATATCTTTAATGATGTAAAGTTTAAATTTCAAGTTTGATACTTCTCCATTTTTAAAAAAAATAAATGTTAATATTATTAATATAATTGTTACTAAAAAAAAAAAAATTCGACAGATTGCACTGCACAAAAAAAACATTTTTCTAATTATAATCATCGAACTATAATTGGGAATGTTTTTGGAAAAGATAAATCATGAGAGGAGGAAACATCTAAAAAATGGTTCCCTTTAGGCTGCGGGACACGTGGTGACAACCCAACATCTCAATTGACACTCCCACTCCACCTCACTCCACTCTTTACATTCCATTCTTTCCTCTATTCCCCCCTCTTCTGCCCTCTCTGCTCAAGCTTATAGCCGAATTTCCCTTTTCCCTCTCCCTGGAATGTCTCAACCCAGGTCGGAAATGCCGGAGATACTCCCATCAGAGGGCCCGGTAAATGGAATCGGAGCACCCCAGGTGGTCAGTTCATTGGAGACTGTCGGATCGAAGCGCCAACGGCGGCCAAGCGTCCGATTGGGCGACATTGGTGGCGACCAGCCTTACGATACCCATGTGCGGAGAGCCGCTGCTGCCTCCGCCAAGCAGTGGAAGCACCAATCCAACCATTCTTTGAATCCCTCTGTCGGTGCGAAGTCCTCTAAGACTCGCCCTCTCACCAATCTGACTTCGGAATTCAACAACGAAATTCTCGATGATGAGAAAGACGGGAACATCAACAACAACGGCAACAACAACGGTAATTTGGATAGCGTCGCAATTGGAAGCTGGAAGGTTAAGGATCCTAAAAAGCGGGGTTCTTCTGCTACGAAAAGGGTTCGATCCAATTGGGTGTCTAAAGTCGACGATGGTGGCGGTGGTGGAAACGGGAACAGTCACAATGTGGAATTGGAAGATAAATACAGTGGAGGTGAGGATGTTGATGATTTTGATATGGATAATTCTGAGAGTCCCTTGAAAGAGCAAAGTCCAATTCACTCACTAGACCACTTGGGTGTGGATGGTAATGAAAGAGAGGGGCTTTATCATGGGAACAGTAGTAGAAGGCCATCTAGGGCTAGGGTTTTGGAGAACAGGGACCATCATGATGGTATGGAGCTATCTGGACCATCTGATACAGATATGAGGAGGTGTGGAGAGGACGGAGTGAGAATATGGTTGAATAGTTTGGGGTTGGGGAGGTATGCACCGGTTTTTGAAATTCATGAAGTGGATGATGAGGTATTGCCATTGTTGACTCTGGAGGATTTGAAGGATATGGGAATAAATGCAGTTGGTTCTCGGAGGAAGATGTTTTGTGCAATTCAAAAGTTGAACAAGGGCTTTTCATAAGCTTCTTTCTTTCTCTCTTTTTGTGATGTAGGTTTTTGAAGGAGAAATTTCTCAGCCATGGCAATGTAAGAAATCATGTCTGAACCAGTTTGAGCCTTTTTAGTATTTGCTTATAATTCTCTTATTGGTGTAGTACTAGGAATAGTTTTGGAATGGGTAGGTTCTTTTGTTAGTGTCTTCTTCTAGCAGTATATGACTATTAGTCTAATGCAATTTTCTGGTGCGTAATCCTATGGCAATTATGCTGAGTCCATTGCTGATAACTTAATTAACAAAATGAGGGCATATTCATTTTTCATTTGATTTGATTAAAGGAAATTTCTTGATTAAAAAAGCCAATTTCAAGCATATTCCCACGTTTTCCTCATTTTTCAATTGTGAAAGGGAAGCAACTTATATGGTGGTCATCTTAGCATAAAGATGTGGAAGATAAGATCAACTTTAAGCCAGCAAACTATCAATTGAAGGGTGAAGGGTGTGTCTTTGTTCTGGTCTTATGTTTTATGTTGTATTGGTTATTGTCTATTTGTAGTCGCATTACAATAACCATGGATCCTAACAATAATATGCATCCACCTCAAGTGGAAGTGATCTAAATGTCCTGCAAGATCCTAGCTATCCTAGTGATCTAAATTGTGCTTGCAGTCAGTAATAATGTTCAAGTTTATGTTATCTAGAAGAGTCTGGTGTGTTTTCCAGTTTGGGCTGCAAAACACCAGCCATTGGAGGGGCCCTCCCCCATTATCAGGGAGCCCCTACCTAATCCAATGGCACCGGACTGCAAAACACTTTTTTGTCTCTAGGACACATTTTATTATCATGTGTCATGTTAATGTGTTACTGCTTGCTGCTCTTAGATACTCACCATAACTTGGTATGCCTGATTCTTGTGGTTGCTGGGATTTATTTGAGAACATTTGAATGGTTTGAACCATTTTCTGTACCGTAGCTTTTTCTCATTCTATATATTAAATAGCTTAAATGTCAGTGCCATCAACAACCTGAATAATTTAGCATCCAGAAGATGAAAAGTACCCAGTATTGCTAGTTTCCTTGCAGTATTTAATTGTGTTAAAGACTTTTCTGAACAGAAAGTGTTTAAGATGTTGTTTGGACTATATTTTAATGAATTTATTACTGTGTATTTTAGTTGTGCAGAAATGGTTATCCTTTGAAAGCTGCCACCTATTTAGTGCTTTTTGATCTAACATTCTTTCAGTCCTATATATGCTTGTATAATTATAATTTATTGCAGGAGATGAGTAGTAATCTTGAAGAGTGTAAAACCTTATCGTGAAACATGTGTCAGATTTAAGAGATTTATTATATGTGAAGACAGATAGTATAAACATGGAAAATCTTTTCTAGAAACCCAAGTTTATTTGTTATGTTAAATTCTCAATATTGATTGGCAGAATTGGTGATTTAAAAAGGAAGCTGTATGCCTTATTTGTCTACCTCAGGTATTCTTGTTCTGTTAAATCTGTTTGTCATAGTTATATTGTTCTGATCGATCATTGGATTGTCTGTAAGACCTAGCAACCAGCCTTCTTGGATGTCAGGCACATGCCAAAACTGGTTCCGAGTGATCTCTATAGCAAGCAAGCAGCATGCATCGATTGACAGGCTATTTAGATGTGTTAATTCTCCAAAGGTTCTTGTATATTTTTGTCTGTTAGTTCATGTAGAGCCAGGAAATGGATTACAGTCAATGACAAGAATATGTTGTATAAATTCCTCTAGGATGTTTATGTTGAAAATTGAAATACGGTGTTAAATGATAAAGGAAACTTGGTAAAGGCATGATAAAACCGAAGAATTGCTGCTTTTAGACAGTGCAAGCCTAATGGATTAAGATTCACTTTAAAATTTGCAAGTTTAAACATTCAAAATGAAAAAAACTAGAAGTGTTAACTTCCTTTTCTGAAAGGTTACAGATTTTGGGGATGGGAAGGGAGCTCAAAAGCCAGCACTTGGTGGAAAAGGAGGACTTTCATTAGACCAAGAGGCAGAGTGTAATATATAGGAAAATTGATAAAAACAAAAATGAATTTCATCATCATATGTACATTAAACTACCGAAATTACGTAGGTTAAAGCAGTAGGAAGTAGGAACATAGGGATATTGATGCTATGGATGCTACAAACTTTCCCTGATTCTCAGAGAATAGGACAATCAATGCAAAATGATGGGTACTTCAATCAAACAGTTGGATCAAAACTAAAACTCCTCCTACACTAAATAATTCACTTGGATTGGTTCTAGGAACTCTTCACTCCAACTTGATTGTGCCTTTCTCCTGTTGCTGCTTCTTAGGCTCTGCAGGGAAGTATTTTATGCCAACCAGATCTCCAACTTGACTGATAACCTGTTAAAGAGAGGAGAAATTACCATGTTTTTGTCATGCATCACCTCAAAAACAACAAAGTTCGGTCACTTAATTGTCAACATAAGATCTGTGTTAGAACTGATAAAGAGGGAAGGATTACTCATCATTTAGATTAGGATCCACGGACTGGAATTCATGTGAAAGCGTAGGCAAAAGACCACAACGGTTAAAGCAGTAAAATAGATATATCCATTCTCACATCTGGATAATACATTTTTGGTAACAGGGAATAAAAGGGATAAAAAATTGTTTGATAATTACCTCCAATGCTTTAATAAGGTCTTCTCTAGAGTGAGATGCTGATATGCAAATACGTGCCCTGGCCAAAAGTAATGGGGTAGCTGGGAAAGCAACTGTCACAATAGCAACCTGTAATAGAATAATCTGATTTTAGTAACTAGTAGCAAGGACAAATACTAGACAGAACTAAAAACATAGATAATATATATCATGTCATACTGAATATGGACTTACATTCTGTTTGAGACACTCTCGAGAAAATGCGGGGATTTTTGCTGGATTGTAAAGCATAATGGGCATTACAGGAGAATCATTATCTCCAAGAACTTCAAATCCCATCCTTTGTAACTCTGACCTGAAAAAGTTGCTGTTCTGACGGATTCTAGCAAGTTTCTGAGCCCCTACATTAACAAAAAAAAAAAAAGTGCCTTAGTAAATGATTTAAAGAATTGGACTTGATGCCTGGCATAAAATGAACAGATAATGAAATTCAATGGACAACTAAAAACGAAAAGATAAAGATATGAATCATTGTACCTCTACTGGTACCATCTTCACCAAGAATCACTTTTATGGCAGAAATAATTTGTTCTGCAGCAGGTGGTGATATTGATGTTGCATATAGATGAGCAGGACATGTATACTTAAGATATTGTATAAGCTCCTGACAATGTCATGCAAAAGAAATTTAGAATGATTTGAGTGTTCACATGCATAATGTATATTACCATGGTTATAGACTAAAGAGTATGTCTCAATGGAGCCAAAGTCTTCAACGAGAAAAAGAAAAGTCACCTACTCAACAGCCAAAGGAAATTTCAGAACGCATCTAGGACTAGGAAGCTCTAAAATTAACAAACCTTGGATCCAGCAATATAACCACCACATGAACCAAAGGATTTTGTGAAAGTTCCCATCATAATATCCACATCAGCAGTATCCACCCCTAAGAGTTCACATACACCTCTTCCTGTTTTTCCAACTGCTCCAATGCTGTGAGCCTCATCCAGATAAATATATGCCTGTAACAAAGGGAATGAGAATAAAAAAGCAAAATATTTGGATTGATAGACCATTGTTAAGATTCAACAAGAGAAGCTGGAGAATTCTAAAAGATTATGAAATGAAGAAGGAAGGGAGTAGTATGAGTATGCATGCAGCTGATAATGTAATTACTATGGTACATGATCAACCTGCTTAACTTCTTAACAGTAGAAGAAAAAAATGAAGACACAAAAAAAGCTGCTTATGGAACACCAAACTTCATTTTTTTCTTTTTTTTTTTTTTATTTCAATCGAATTAACAATAAAGCTAGCTGCCTCATTAGCCCTGTTCCAAAAAAGAAAAGAGGAGAAAAAATTGTGCAATTTCCTTCAAGAACAAACCAGAATGAGTGCAAAAATATACATGACAATAATCATAATTTTTGCTAGTTACATCACCGACCTTATATTTCTTGCAAACAGCAACTATCTCTGGAAGTTTACAAATTTCACCCTCCATGCTATAGATACCCTCCACAACAACAATTATCTTTTTCCATGGTCTATGTGTCCTTGGTTGTCCCTCAGCAATTTGTTCTCTTAGAACTTTCTCCAAATGAGATGGTGCTACAAGTAAAAGGAATTTTTGAAAAAACGAATTATTTACACAAGCATACTATTTATTTCATAACATAAATTGTGCTCCAAATACCTCATACAACTTACTATTATGCTGAAAAACTCGAATTGTAGCTCCTGAGCCTCGAGCACCATTAACAATTGAGTTGTGGTTCAATGAATCACTAATTATCAGCCCTCCCTGTGAATATATTCAAACCAAAATAATTATAAATTTGGAATGCATTGAATAAAGAAAAGGTTAAACATGAACCTTCAAAACAAAAATCATAATAACGAAATCTACATGCCTTTCCAATCAAGACAGGAAGGATAGATGAGTTTGTAACATAACCCATGCCAGTGACTATAGCAGCTGGCTTCCCAACAAATTTTGCAACACATTCTTCCAGTTCTGTATGAACTGTCGTAGTACCTGATGGATTTGAAAAGGAAAAAAAAAAAAAAAAGAAAAAAGAAAAAGAAAAAAGCATCAAGGGATTTAATATGCCTTATAGGCAACCTAAAGAAACACGATGCAGGATAAACAATACCTCCATCAACACGAGGACTACAGGTACTTGCTGAAAATCTCCTCAATGAATCAATTGCACGAGGCGTGCAATATTCATCTGCTGCGGCAAAGCCGAGATAATTGTATGATCCCAAGTTAAGACACTTAATTCTCTTCTCAGTACGCCTGCAAGAGATGAAGAGAAATAATCATTTTACTGACAAAAGTTCAGGATTCCAACTTTTAGAAGTCAAAACATTTTATGTTAAAATACAATTGTTGAATTCAATTAAGATGTTGATTATAAGATAAATCAGGGTCAAATTAAGCTATATTTTTGCTAAAAAAATGACAGGAGAGAAAACCCACTTCAATGTTTTGTTATTGTCATTGGAGTAGCGTTCAACCACATCAAACCAAGCATCAGGAGCACTTGATATCGGTCGCCCAAAACAATCCTACAGATATGAAAGTACGAGGAAGGATCAACAACACTCCAACAAGGGAGAAACCTAGTCATATTAGGAAATATGGAGCACAACCATAAACTATCAACGTAGTTAAAAACCTTTTACCAGCCTTAACATTTCACATCCTATGCTTATAAAAAAATAAAACATAAATTAAAAAAAAAAAAAAAAATCAAAGCGCTTCACATCAAATAAACCATCACTCTTATTTCATGCAGATCATCTTGTAGGCGTAAAACAGTCCTTGAGGTGTTGCAAATGAAATGAGAAGACAAAACAGAAATGAAATAAGGATTCCCAATGGCAATACCTGGATGCGAAGATACAGTCTTCGAGTATAGAAATCCTCGAAGTCTAAAGAGATCGGTGCATAGCCCTGGGAAATCAAGAACAAAACATCATCACAGAGTCTCAAAATCGAAACACATGCAGATCCACAATTGCTTCAGAAGTACAAACCTGGAGATTGGTAGTACCCCACCAATCGAAGATCTTCCTGAAGAAATCACGAAACTGGCCAAAGGCGAACAGCAATCCATAGCTGAAATACGTGGTTAAAGCGGTCAAATACGGAATCGTAATCATTTCCACTCTTGTTTTCAAGGACTAATCAGAGAAAAAAAACTTAGATCTGACACTGCGGAATCGGAAGAATGGTGGTGGCGACGAGGAGGAGGAAGAGGAGGAGAGAATCGTAGATCGGAGGGATTTGAAATCTCTCGCGGGAGAGAAAGAAGAAGATTGGTCAATCCAATCGCCCCCTTTTTGGTTTGATTTTTCCGATTTTTTTTTTTTTTTTAATTTTTCTTGACTTTGGTTCCATGGTTGAAGACAATACTCTTACAGATGGAGAAATTCCGCGGCAACTGCTAGTGGGCTTTGGTGATGGCTATGCCGCTACAAGCCCAATGGGCGCTAATGTCAATTGAGGGCCCCATGTTTTTGTTGAGGTGTGGACCATAGGAAATTAGGAAACTACGGTGTACCATTTTTTTTTTTATGCATTTATTAGTTTAATGACTTAGTAGTATAAATGAAAATAATTTGATTTTTTTAAAATAAAATTTTAAATTTAAATTTCTTGAATAAAGAAACATACACTGAAAAACTTTTTCATTATAGTATTCAACGTAATTGGATTTTAAATTAATTAGAACTAATGTAATTTATAAATATTGAGAGGTTAATATAAAAATAGTGTTTGTTTAATTATTAAAAAAATTAATTTAAATATAAAAAAGACTACCATCCTTAGTGTTGGTTGATGTTAGTTGGAAAATAAATTTTATATTAAAACTTATATAAACTTATATAAACAATTTTTTATATCCTATCAAAGTAGATTACATTTTAAATAACTAATTAATTTTATCTTGAAGATAAGTCTTATTTTAAAATTCACGTATATAATTTTCAGAGGTCAAGTCTATTGTATGGATTTATCCCATGTAGTATTAGGGCTTGCATTTTTGTCCAAGCCGGTCCTATGGACTGAATTTCGCTGGGCTTCTTCAACTTACCGGCCTGTTGGACATGTTTAATGGGTAGTATTCAGAAAAACAAGCTGTTAAGTCTTTTGGGTTAAGTTCCAACATGCAACAACAATTATTTTTTGATATTAGTGGTGGCATGGAGGGGATATTCCAACAAATCTGTAGTGAATGAGGGAACATACACTCTATTGAGTTTCAGGATCAAGCATCAATATGCAACAATCTGGTATCAAAAACAAAATAATAGCAATAAATAATCATGTAAAAATGTGCGTTGTGTAGTTTGGAATTTGTTAAACTACATAATTTAAATTATTAAATATGAATAAAACTCTTAAATATAAAGACAGTATCTCTATTTGATGATTTTTGTTTTGTAATTTAAATTATAAAATGACAAACTCACAATCATCTTAATAAATGAAAAATGTACCTTAATGAGTGATTGTTCGCCATTTACCACCTCAGGTCACCAAAGCTAAAGAGAATGGCTTGTGTGTATAGAAGAGAGGTCTAGTATGAAAGACAAGAGCCAGTCAAATAGCAAGGATGACCCACCCAGGAACCGAAACAGGCTTGTGAGTCCTCTGAGCTTCATATAGCTAGACACTATATTATTGACATCCATCAATTTGTGTCTCTCCCAAAACCCCATTTGGGTTTTAGGCAAGTCATCCTTGGCTACCAAACATGACTCTTCATCTACATACGGGAACCCCCCTCCCCCACTTCTTCCTTTCAAATTTGGATGCCAATGCCATCTTCAAAACCCCTCTATTTATATAGCCATTCCAAAGTCAGAGGTTTTGATTCCAAAATCGAAAATGTGTCCTTCATTTCCCCTTAACAGAATATATTCTCTTGGATTTGATGTGGGGGGGGACCGAATTGCCAAGGCTCAACCACATGGATTCAAATGTTCATTTTGCTAGGTGTTGTTTGCATTACAATCTCCTACTGCATAAAGGACTCCTAAGACTGAGGAACAGAGGAAGGAGAGGGCAATACGAAACAGGTAGCGACGCATGTTGATTCGATTGAGCAAGTTGGAATGAATCAATTCGTTTTGACATTCCATGTATGTCAAAAGTTTTCAAAGGCTGAAAAAAGAAATTTATCATGATTAATTTATTCACTTTATAATGTTCCTACTCTGTGTTCAAGCTTCTGACAGCTGCTTCTTTAACAGTCAACATGTTCCGATGCTCTTGACATATGTCTGATAAGTGGAACCAATCAGTGTTAATGGGAATGATTCTTCCGCTTTGACTTAAATAGTAACTGAATGATTGTAATAAAGAAAGACCCGCTTTGTGGACTATCAACGGAATATGAAAGTTCTAGAATTGGATTCACGGAATAAGTAAACATTGTGTTTAGAAATTAAGTTTTAAAGTTAGTATTTAAAAAATGCACTCCCTGTGTGGTTGAAGTAGTTACATTTTTTCATATGAAAAGTAAAGTGAAATGCAACATATGATAATCAGGTCGACTTTTCAACCAGTATTCGAACGAATACTAACTTACTAATTATATTTTTTATAGTAAAAAAAAAGTTATCATTTAAAAAATTAATTTTTTTAATATATTAAATCAATATATAATACACCTGTAATACTATTTATGAAAAAATTAACCTCAAAAAGTACAAAATTAAAATGAGATAATCTCACTGTAAATAAATAAGTAAAAGAATACAATCTCTAATACTATTCTTTTAATTACTGTACTAATATTAACTAAGTTTCAATTAATTGATGTAAGTCTCTTTTTTATTCTTTTTATGGGCGAGACAAAATTTAATTCAGAAAAGTAGAGGAAGTATTCTAACTGATATTACAAAATTTCTCGACCTGAGAATGAGATATGATATCAAATCTCCTTAGCAACCAGCGAATACATGATTGTATACTTCCTATAACAATTGCCAAATATTAAGGAACAAATTAAAATACCACATAGGTAAAAAGATCAAACACATAGTGTGCATAACAAATTCTGACTATATTCTACCAGACTTCACCACCTGCAACCCCAGAAAAATCAATGGAAACATAGAAGACAAGACACTCCCTGCAAATTACATCTTGACCCCCATCACTCACACTTGGACGGCCAAATTATTCCATTAATTTTCACATCAATCAATATCTGCCCCTTCCAGATAATGTATATTGTCAAAATGGCTTTGAATGAACACGATATGATGATTTTTGTTCTTAGTTGACTCATATATATGTCTCAACATCGCCACGTTTCAAGTGCATGTCATAGATTTAAAGCACTTAGCCTAAACAAAGATTCTATACACCTCTTTGGAACATTATTCCAAGCTTCTTAGGTTAAAAAGCAAACACTCACGAGACAACAGTCCCGCATCTTGTAATTGCATGCCACTTTACGTCACATGGAATAATTAAGAAGACCTATGTTAAGAGTTGGAAGAAAGTAGTGTTTATAGTTTCAAGGTTTGATTAATTGACAAACAAAATGTCATCTAAGGTTAGGTTTGGAGTTTAAATTTAGAGATTAAAAAAATTAATTTTTCTAAATACATCATGTAAGAGTGCATTCTTAAGCTCTATTAACGAAAAATTAGTCTCAAGATACAAAAAAAAACTAAACACCTTGATTATAAAAATCAAAAAAAGAGAGAGGGAGAGAAAAAAAAAAAAGAAAAAAGAAGAAGAACTATTCTAGATGTATTAAAACCATATGTAACTGCTGATTTTGTAAGAAAAAAAAAAAAAAGAAGAAGAACTATTCTAGATGTATTAAAACCATATGTAACTGCTGATTTTGTAAGAAGAGTAATCACTGTTGCATATATAATCTATTGAAACGGACTAATTAATAAACAAATTTTGATGTGTGAAATGAAACAACTATTAATGGCGGACACTGTTATAGTGCAATGAAGATTAAGAGAGACATTCACTTGAACCTATGTTTGGCTGCCAGGCAGGCAAACAATTCGGGAAATCTTCAATTTATTAAATTAATTAGTTGATCGAAATAGTCTTCCTCTTCCTTCCCTTTAACCAAATAAGTTTGAAAATTGCCGTCAGACTACCACTGTATTTTGCAACTGGGATATTAGTCCACCAACTGGGGTTTAGTATTTTAGTTACTGTCCCGAATTTCAATTTCCCCTTCTCATAGAAACCTAAAGAAAAGTTTAAAGAAAAACTGTTGTGCAATGTAGAGGCCATTGGATGGGGTTTCTAACAGGCAATTTCTTGCCTAATAATCTTTTGATACTAACTTTTCAATATTCAAAAACTATATTAAACTTTATTCTCATGAGGGGAGCTTTTACAGTGTCTTATTTTTTTTATTTATAAGACTTAAATTCAAAATTTTATTTAAAAAAAAATCAAACTATTTTTACTCCAATCATCAAATCATTGGTCTCATCTAATAATCTTTGTTTTATAATGTAATACAATTCTAATAATAAATGGAGGGTTGTGAAAGTTTAATTATGGTTTAGTTGACTAAACCTGAACAACCAAACAGGCCTTGAAGGTGAACCTCCTTTACTGGACCTCTAGTGACTATTGGGCCACTGCCACGTATCTCAGTTATATTATATTATATATGGTTTTGTCTTCGAGACTTCGACTCTGTCAATTACGGAATTATGGTCTCGTCGTGGGTTTATATTGTTGGTCCAGTGGCCCATTTTAGGCCTCACACAATAAGAATAATAAATCAATATGACTTATTAAATTTTATTATTATTAAAGTCCAAAATATATTAAAGTTCACAAATTAAAAAAATAAAATTTTATTAGCATCTAAATAACT